TATATATATATATATATATATATATATATATATATCCACTCTCGAATGGTCGTAGAACTTAAACTCTTGAAGTCTAGGGCCCTAACTTGATCCATTAATGTCCATAATTCCCGAAATAGGAAGCTTTTCGAAACCGGATGTTACACTTCGTAGGCAAGTAGATAAAGATCAAATGGCGAAGCATTTGGAAATTCTACGAACTAGCGAAGAGATTTTCCGCACTAAGATTTGGGAGTGCTTCGAATGACGAAGAAGAAGATCTGAAAAAAATACTTAGACTAGGACTATCGTTTATGTTTTAAAATTAGGAATATCGTTTTATGTTTTTAAATTAGGACTATGGTTTTTTTTTCTTATAATTTTTTTTGTAATATTATTTTTAGTTTTTTAATGTTATGTTTAATTTATGATTTATTAAAATAGCATGTTTTATTAATTTATATTTTTATTTATAATTACTCAAAAATAAATAAATAAAAAAGAAATAAGAAATGATGACATGAAAATTAGTAGGTGTTATAAAATTTTATATCACCTTGACCACTTTTTCAATTGGTGTTACAAGATCATGCCATGTGAGGTGACACTTTTTTAGTGTGATAACATGTCTTGAGGTGACACTTTCTCAATTGATGTTATTTTAGGAGTTTTTGACCCAACAATGTGTTCTTGAAAATGGTAAACTCATCTTCATTGATGTCAAATCAAGAAAGCACAATAAAAGAGAAGATTAATGATTTACATATGTTATTATTTTATAGGGAAAATACCGGCAATAGTCAAAAATGGAGGGTATTTTCAAAAAATAGACACAAAAAATTGGATTTCCGGATATAGACATGGATTCCGCGGAGGTAGCTCCGTGGAGCTGCGCGGAATCTACTGTAGCTCCGCGGAATGGCAAAATCGTAAATAAATGAGTGTATTAAAAAAATAAAAAACCCTCAAGATCCATTCCGCGGAGCTACCTCCGAGGAATGAACTCATTCCGCGGAGGTAGCTCCGAGGAATGGATCTTCAGTTTTTTTTTCCACATCGATTCTTCGAGGTTTATATTCATTTCCAACTAATTATTTTCAAGCAAAGATTATCATACTATCATAATCTTTTTCTTGAAAATAATTAGTTGTGGAATTAATATAAACCCCGAAGAAACGATGTGAAAAAAAAATAAATAAAAAAATCTAAAGATCCTTTCCGCGGAGCTACAGTACATTCCGCGGAGCTCCGCGGAATGCATATCTATACCTGCAAATGTCCATTTTCATGTCTAAATTTTGAATTTACCCCCCATTTTTTTACTATTGCCGGTATTTTCCCTATTTTATATGAATCATATAGTTTTTTGAAGAAAACTTGTGTATATAGATGTGCTTTATTTTATGAAAAATTTTATAAATATTGTTTATTTAAATAGTTGTTTTTTAAGTTTATTTATATGTGTTTGATGTGAGTTAAAATTTTGTTGATGGTTTTATCAAAGTAAAGCCGAAGGAAATACATATATTGAAACAAAAAAATTGTTCATCCCAAAATACAAAAAGATACAGCCAAACCACAATGGAATATATATATATATACAAAACAAAAATATTCAATGAAAAATCTTAGCTGATGGCTAATTGGAAGATGAAACCTTGAAAATTGAAATCCATGCATGAAATCTAAATGAGACGTTGGGGATCGTATACCTTCGACTTCATGAAGGAGAAGCAAATCGCTTGCTTGTGACATTCAGCCATGCAAGGATCCATTTTCGATGGTGTAGGTAGCATTTTGAAAGGACGATTGTGCAGGAAAGCCAACTAACCATATCTATTAGTATGGATGGTGAATGTCTTCAAAGAACAATGTGAATCTTGAAAGGGCAATTGAGTTGGTTCTATATAAGCAAAAAAACAAATTAAAAATATAGATTATCATTCGGCGTCTTTCTAAAAAGAAAATAATGAAATTAACATGTTATCCAAGTCAGAACGTGTAAATAGTGAAAAACTGAAGTGCCTTATATACATTGAAAAAATGAATTTTCAGCAACAACCGTCATATCCTCCAACATACTCAAGTAACATATACCAAGGTAGGACCTTTGATATCCATGATTCCGTAATTACAATGAATTTCCTCCGATTAGATTCTAAGCATTTTGGATTTGTATTTCTTCTAATGCGAGCACAGTTCTTAAGATGTACAAAATGGGTCCAACGCATCAAAAACACAATCAAATGAAATCAAGTTGAAAACCTAAACCGAAAGAAGTCAACACATGAAACTTAAGTAATAAACTAGAAAAGATTCCCCGGCGTTGCCGGGGTCGGAAGGTATTGCTTTGTAAAGTAAAGTAGCATGTTGGTTGTTTTTTGTCCGTTAATGTGAGGGTAATTTGGTCTTTTCAGGTAGTAGGGACTAAATTTGTCATCATGGGTAGACCATATGGACCATTTATGTAATTTTGTCGTCAAATTCAACAAAACCTAAGGACCATTTATGTAAAATAAATCAATTCCTTATTGTTCATAAATGCTTTTACACATTAAAAAAAACTCATTAATTAAAGAAGTGACGATAAAAAAAATGGGAATCGTTTAAAGCAAAAGCGGAGCGAGAGAATTGAGCGAAAGAAGTAAAAAACAATAACTTAGGGGAAAAGTGGCAACAGGTAAAACAATTGAGGCAAAAGAGTAAAAAAAAAAGTTGTAGAATTACCGTTTCATAAAAGTGTTATCCTTTAAACAAAGTGACACACAAACAAAAATGGAGGGATAAAAAATGTAATTTAAGGGACCAAAAGTGGAAAAAATATCTCAGATTTACTGTTCTTTTTCTCCACAACTTTAATATATATATATATATATATATATATATATATATATATATATATATATATATATATATATATAATAATGATATCCAACAAGATAATCAGAAAACTAAAATGAGTCATCAACATCATCAAGCTAGAACATACATTAAGTTACAACATCGGAGAAGATGGGGATGGTGGTAAACGACAAAAACAATTTTGAAAGGCAAAGGAGCATGCAACGATGATTTTGTGCCAAACGTAATACATTAAGTTTTGATCCCTACGGTTTAGAAAATAATCATAAAATATAAAGACATATGTATAAAGAACAAAAGAAGGGTAAAATGGTTATTTTTACTGAAATTTAAGCATTTTTTAACGCAGTGTATTGGAGCGACCATCTATGTAATATCCACAAAGCACAAGGACCAAGTTTGTCCATTTTATTGAAGTTGGACTATGTGTCTATTACACCATACCACAGGTACCATTTTTATAATTTTCTCAAATTATTACATATAAATATTTACACTTTTGGTCTTAAACTTGTTATGAATACTACGAACCTTAAATTTTGTTACAAAAATGATAAAAAAAGAAATTTACTTGTTTGTTTTTTTTTTTAAAGAAATTTACTTTTTCTGCAAATTTTTTAAAAACTATTAATGCGATTTTTTTTAAAGTTTTATCCCATGGTTGAATATCCCTATCTTTTAATCTAATTAATTATACATAATAAAAAAAAACATATTACACCACAAAACATATGATCAAAATAACACTAAAATGCTTTTAGAAGTTTATAAAAAGATTAAAAAAATGCTTTTAGAAGTTTTATTAAACAATCCTCTTTATTTGATAAAAAAATTATAATTTTTTGTTTTTGTCTCATGATTTAATATAAAAAAAAGTATAGATTAGGTTAAACAAATAAATGAGACCCTTTTATAAATATTTAAAAGGTCCATAAACAATAAAAATATGTTATAAAATATATAGATGCTGCGAAGTACTTTAGTAGTATTATATGTCACTTACATAACATGTTTTACATACCAACATGTTGCTACCTTTCTAGTTTCTAGGGATAAATCCTCTTCAAAAATAAACACATCTCAATACTTGTTTTAAAGATTCCTTCTATCTTCTATCAATTAATATCTACCAATCTACACCTCATATTCTCTCTTCCCTTGTTAGTTGTTACTTGAACTAGCTTAATTACCTGGAAATACAAGTCATACATAAAGATTATACACATAACATGGATTACAATAAATACCATGGTTTTCATGCAATAACAAATAGGTTATACAATACTTGAACGATTTTCTTGCAAACTTCTACTTTTACTTAACAAATAAGTCATCCAACTTTAGTTTTTTGGTTAATGGCATATGTATCATGTATGGGTAAGTTAAGTATGTCTTTTCATGTCCATGGTTGTTCACTATCATTGTAGACAAAATTACAGAACTGGTCCTTGTGGTATTTTGGAAATTGCATGTTTGGTTCCAACTTCCAATTTCATTACAAGAATGCTACCTATCCTGTGGTTTCATTTTTTGCAAAAACTGTTCTTTAGTACTAACTTTGTTAAAATGACCTTTTTACCCTTGTATTTTTTTTTCATTACAGCTTATTTTAAACAAAAACTTTCTTCAACTTCGTCTATTTTTTTCACCTATTTCTTTTTATAGGCTTAATAGATACCAGATTTCTGTTTATGAGAACCACATCTAGATGGATTTAGATACATAGATTGATTGAGAAGGTCATATTAATCAGTAATATTGACAGTTATTGTGATGAATAATGGTGTCTTAGAGTTGTGATGAATCAGTTAATGGGACAAAAATTTGTAATTTTTTATCTCATCCAAAAAGGTAGGACAAAGGCTTGCTCTCTCAATTCCTCATCTCAGCTAAAGAAAATATAGCCATGAATAATGGAAGATCAGGACAAAAATGAAAGATCCACACTCACTTGAACTTTCTAAAAAACCCCATAGCTTTATGTTTTCCTGATTAATTTCAGAACTGATGACCTGTGTGTGGGTGTTTAATTAACTAGACATAAAGAACAAGTTCTAACTTTATAGATATTCAATTGCAAAGGAAAAAAAGCCTTAATATGAAAACCTAATTGAGTACACACCTGATTCATACTAAAACACCATCGGCCATCTTAAGCATCATGTCGTATGCTTCTCCAAAATTTCCATCACAGCTTCAGTATACGCAGCTTCTTCTTTATCTGCAGAAGCATCCTCATTGTTCATAACACCATCATTTCCATCCCCGAGATCTTTCATCTTCATTACACAAAAATGTATCCCTTTCATCACATACCCTGAAACTGGCAATTTCAAAACGGGAATGTAACCGTTACTTATTTTAGTAGGAAGCTCTAAATGAGTCATCACAGCTTCAGAAGCTGAATGTACCCATTCCTTCACCTCAATGAGCTTTTCCCCACTCAGAGAAAGCTTCCCTCTTCTCCCTAAATCAGTAATGGAAACCTTTTCCAACTTTGGTAGATCCTTAACCAAGTACAACAATATCGAATGCCAGACCATCGCATCCCTAAAACACTGAAATGAAATGACTAATTTCTGATTTAACATATCATTTCGTAACTCGTCTTCTTCTTCTTCTTCTTCTTCCCCATTTCCATTAATACAGAATCCATCCTTGTCAAAAATTGAATGTGGTGATAGAAATATGAACGATTTCATTCTGCTACAGAACTTAGCTTTCCACCTGAACAAAAGACGATCATCAATATCTCTATGACTGGATGAAGGAAGTTCGATCCATAAGAACTTCACTCCTTTAAACTTGCTCAAAAACCTATGAGCGGATAGAAACGGCTGACTTGGGGAGACATCACTGACGGTGTTCTTATCGGAAATGTGAGGGTTTAATAAAGGAGCAGTGAAGGAAATGGCTTCGATTTGAAGTACAATCGAGGAGAAATGTTTGGAAATGAGATGGCAAAAGCATAGGGTTTTCAAGTCGATTAATTTGTTAAAAATCTGGAGGATGATTTCATCTGGTAAACGACGAAATGAAGAAGAAACATTTGCATCTTCTTCGCGAGATTCCACGCTGTTCTTCATTCTTCAGAATAGTAACCAATGGTTTCTTACATCGGGATACTGTCTGAAACCCTAATCATCCCCTCTCTGACCTTTTTCAAAACAAACGAGAATTCTGTCTCAAGAGTTCGTCATTTTTGTAACTCCATTTACGCTAGAGCATTATCGAGGACACTTGGAGGTGTTTGAAAAAAAAAAATCCACTTGGCATCATATTAGATCTGCTCAGCACGTGGCATCATTACTTCAAATTTCAATGGTTTTATCCAATCTCTACATTTAAACCATTAAATAGTAAATACCGACCATTACTATAAAATTTGTTTTTATTAGAAAACCATGTGAAATACTTAAATAATGAAGAAAATTACAAATTTAGCCAAGTGTTAATTATTTTGTGGAAAATAGCAAAAAGAAAAAAAAAAAAAAAAAAAACTCAAATTGTATTTTTAGCCATCAAAATTACAGATGAATTAAGTCTATCTGTGATTTTAGCGACCCTTCTGCAAACGTATAAGTCGCTAAAACACAGATGTGCTTTAGCAACTTGTACGTTCGCATATGGTTTTTTGTTTTTGTTGTATAAATACATCCTTCGCCCCCTTCAAATCACATATGGACTAAGCCCATTTGCGATTTCCACTCAATTTTAACTGCGATTTTGGGGTTTTTTTAAAATTTATTTATTTTGACTACGAATAATTAAAGGCTAAAACAGATTAATGTTAAGTAATTAGAAACTTCAATCCTTATAACAACTAAAGAAGTATAAAGTTGAAGTTTTAAACATAATCAAACTTTCCAGAGAGAGTTTTCCAACAAAAAAGTGAAAAATAAAATAATTTTTTTTTGTTTTTATACTAGCCACAACTATGTTCACAGAGTAGTCATCCTTTATATCAAAGTGTAGAACATGCACCTTTTCACTTATATCAAGAACCATTCAGTCAATATTCTCTTTTACATTTTTCTTTTTCTTGAATCGCTTTACATTGTTCATACTTATTAATTATTTATATTTTGAGCACTTTGTTGATTATCTTAATTCTGAGGCAAGACTGGTTTACCAGAATTCACTGGATCTTTATTATTAGCAAACATTGATCTTAAGTTAATTCAAGGTTTGAGTTCTGAAACCTTGTATGCATAGTTCTTTGCTTTCACAATTGGTATCAAAACCTAAGTGGTTGTCCTTTGAATCCATAAGAAAAAATTATAGTTGGTTGTAGATTACCTTGGTATCTCAATGATTTTTGTGTTCAGGATAAAAGGTCTTCTATATACCACTTCAACTATAATATCTCAACTTCAATGGTTGTTTCTAATCAATCTCAACAAATGTATTCAATGCAAATAGCAAATAGCAAATAGCGCGGGTTACCCAACACGTGCCCCATTGCTAGTTGTTTTCCAGTATGATTACTGGAAAGTTAGAATGGAGAGATTTTTGCTTGGTAAATAAAAAGGTGAAGAAATATGGAGGTCAGTGAAAAAAGGTCCTCATGTTCTTGTAAGACGAGTGGTTAGAGATGTTTCCACTCTCATGGGTCAAGAAGAGTCTCGACCAGCACCACTAACTGCAACCGATATTGAGAAACTTCATGCTAATCAAATCAATTTCTCTGAAATGGTGTTTGGTGTTCCTCCTTCTCTCTTTGTGTATATTAAGTTGTACAAATCTGCCAAAGAGATTTGGGATACACTTCAAAACTTGTTCGAAGGGTTATAGAACATGAAGGATAAGTTTTTGACATCTGTTGTAAATTACTTCGACACGTTCACTATAACTCTTGGTGAATCTGTAGCCTCTGCATCAAATCAATATAGGATTGTGGTAAACAACATGACAATACATGGAGTAGTCTGATCTCCACTAGATTACAACCTCAACTTCATCAATAGCCTTGGAAAGGGATGGGGAAATGTTAAGTCCTATCTTCAGAGTAATGGGTCTATGAAGAAACTGAAGCTCTATCAGTTGTTTGACGAACTGGAAGGTCATGAATCCAACTTTGCTAAAACATTGAGAGAACTTTTAGGAGGTCCTCTCGGTTTAGTCAGCTCGGTCAATCCACTGATTCCGAACCCATCTCTTTTGGATCCATTTGGAGTCATCCCACCTGTTCGACCCACAGTAACTATCATGCCTATTTCTCTAATTCTGAACAATCCGTTCGAAGAAAACCTATATCCAAAATCTGTTGATTCCGAACTTCGTTTCCAGCAAGAGTTTCCACTTCTATCTATGAAGTACAAACGTCCTTGGAATCCCAATCAAAAACCTTCTCAAAACAACTTTCAAGCTCTTCACCAAAGCAATCCACAACCTTACCCTAAACCTACTGAAAATCGACCGGCATATCGACCTTCCGAATCACTCCTCGGAACCTCAGGAAGTTCTAAACTCAGCCAAGCCCAAGATTGTATGTCACAAATGTGGTCTCGGAAACCACTATGCTAAGGATTGTTTGGGTGAAGTTCCTCAAAAAGCAACGGTGAAAGACTCAACCTACTATGCTCGTTGTCACACCCCTAAACCGGAACGGCGAAAACGTTCGGGGGCGGATGACGTCGTGTACAATATCATAACAATTGCATAATAGTAATCAAAGTAAAACAACCATTACATTGATAAAGTATAGTTTTACATTCGTGTTCAAATCAATGTATATATGACACCAAAACGTATAGCAAAAACTAAAAGACATGAGTCTATGAAGCTCCGTCTTCTCAAAACCTGTGGATACCTGTTTACTGATTTTTTAAGAATACAAGTAGTTTTGAAAAGAGTGTCAACAATTAAGTTGGTGAGTTCATAAGCATTTTTGCAACTGAAATCTGTTATTTGTTCCTTGAAAATGTAAGTATATTTACCCAGAAAATCCTATATTTTCTGTTGTAATGTGTTGTAGTCTTAATACCCTAAGACCAAAACGTGTAAATGTTATTGTACTCTGAAATAGTATAATGTAGTTTTAATTCACATAGAACTATGAAAAGTATGTTTTCTCCGTACTAGAGTAGTTTTCTGTATTTGTACTTGTATAAAAACTGTGTAATTGTAAGTGTCTGGATTCACCAGCTGTACTGTAAAATACTGTATTATAGTTTTATTATTTAATAAAACATTGTTTACTTATTCATACACCAATCGTATTATTCAATACCAAATTGTGAGTTATCATAACCATGTTTGATGACCTAAGATGGCCTGAACACGACGTTCTTTAGGCGTCTCAATCGGTACGACATTTGTCACCCCAGGCTTGCCGGCCTAACTGTAGCGAACAGTTAAGGTGCGGGATTGTCAGTCCCATATAGATATATACACAAGTGTCACGCTCTTCCACCAGGAGACTCTGGTTATAATTTCAGGACTTGGTTGATACTTAGATAAGTACGTGAAGTGTGTCTCACAAATGCTATATTAACGGTTACGTGTAGAATAATGAAAAGTTAATTTGTAATGGATAAACTGTAAGTATATGTCATAAACTATATTTATTATAGTTTATATGTTTGTTTTCCATAATGTATTCTAAATATGTAAAGTAGTACATATGATCCATAAACTATACATATTATAGTTTATTTGTTTGTTTTCCGTATTGTATTCTGAACTTTGAAAAGTAATATGTAATTGCCGTAAACTATACCTATTATAGTTTATATGTATGTGTTCTACTGAAACGAAAACCTTTGTATTGTTAATAATTCGGCAAGTTTAAATTGTAAAATCCGTGATACGATAGTTCCGTGAAATTCAACATTTATGTCCAAATAGTACTAAAATAGATTGTAAAAATTATATTTTTGTTTAACAAGTTTTAAATGCTTTTATACTTATATAAATATAATATTTATATAATTATGATCAAATAAGTAGTCGAATAAATAATTCTACCTCAAGCCCACAACCAAACAAGGAACAAGAAATGGAGCAAAATTATGAATTCTAAGCCCGTTGAACATTAATTATATATATATATATATATATATATATATATATATATATATATATATATATATGTATATGTTATTAAAAACGGTGATGATTGACAAAATATTGAAAACGTTTAGATATTAACACAAAATTTCTTATGTTACACTTGTATCCCTCCCCCTCTAAAACAGTGAAAAATCATGAAAATGTAGGGGTATGAACTCACCTTGTATGTAGTCGTGGTTAGTTAATATGATAGTAACGGTGACTTGGCGCTAGAACACGGGAAGTTAATCATGTCCTAATTATTTTAAACATATAATAATATGTGATTAAGATGATACAAGTAATATAAGTGTTGTATAACACAAGTTTTATGAATAAAACTTACAAAAATTTGTATGTATTTGAAAACAAAATAGTCATCTGGGAAGTTTGGATATATGTTATGATTTGTGCTGTAAGTCAACAGACCAGGGCATTTCAACAGTAAGGTTGTGGGTCAGGGCATTCCAACTGGAAGGTTGTGGACCGGGGGTAATTCAACTAGGAAGGTTGTGGACCCGTTATGTATTGGGCATTCCAACCGTAAGGTTGTGGGCCAAGGGTAATCCAACCAGGAAGGTCGTGGACCCGTTACCTGCTTGTTTGATATGTTTTATGTGGTGGTACTTGGGGGGGGGGGGGTCACAAAGCTTTGGCTTACAATTTTACTTTATTGTTTCAGGTACTTCTGAAGATGGCGGGAAGACGAAGGCATGACCGTACACATCCTCTGTTTTATGGCTTTATGATTTTGGGATACTCTGATATTGATAAACAATTTGGAAACAATGATTTTGTAAACATTTTATGACCACGGGTTGTTTTTAAAAGTTTAAATTTGTTGTGATTTGTGAGTCGTTACAAAATTGTAACCAAGTTTCTATTTTGTTCCCATGTTTTGAAAAATGTTAAAAATTGTTACACAACAATGCTTTGAGGAATTTAAAAAGAATAACTGCCAATCTAAAATAGTACAACACCTATTTTACATTCTTTGTTTTGTATAATTACTGATTTGGACATGTACTCTGTT